CGGGCCCGGGGAGTTGGCAGGGCTAGGCGGGGGAGGGGAGAGGCCCAGGGCCGGCTTCTCTCGGGTTCTCGAATGCCTGCTGTTATTCTGTCGCCCTCAGGTCCCTCCCGGGCCTCGACCCCTCCTGGCTCCTTGCGCCCGGGACCCGGAAGGCTCCCCGCGCCCCCTCCCCCAGTCCGGGTGATTTACACGCGAGCTCCGCGCAGCGGCCGCTTCCCAATCAGGAATATCGACCCCGGGCGGGGCCCTCGGGCCGCATCGATCCCTCTAAGGCTCAGGATTTAAAAATGTCAAATTTGCCTTTTCCAGGCGAGCGGAGGGGGTGGGGACCAGGAGGAGGGCCGTTTAGAGGGGGGACGGGCAGCAGGGCATCGACCAGGCGCGCCTGTGCCCGGAATGAGAAGCGATCCGGGTGTGGCAGCCCCTGAAGTGGCCTGGCCATCTTTGGGTTCACAGGAGGGCAGGAAGGAAGCCCTGCTCCCTCTGCCACAACCCCCATATTGCCAGAGAGGGGAGCCCCAAGAGGAGCAAAGTCTCCCCCAAAATGTAGGGAGACAGAATTGAAAGAGATCTCTAAAAGTGGAAACATGCAGACAAAAAGATGGAAGAGACAAAGGTAAGGGGAATCCAAGGATAACCTAGCTCTCCGAGCAAAGCAAAGTGAAGGTGCCTTAAAAACTCTAAACAAAATAAAGGTCAGAGACCTAGAGTTGTTTCAACTCTGCTCTGTAGGCCTAGGAGATTCAGAACTGAGAAGATAGTCGGGCTTAACTTCTTGATGCTTTGGGAATGAGGGAGGTGAGTGGAGGCAAAGCCAGGTGATGAAAGAGAGGGATGGGAGAGGAATTCTAACCCTAGAAACTAAGAGAAAGTAAACAATCAGGGTCCCAGCAGCTGCAACTCTAGGCCTAAATGAAGTGGGCTGTGTTGGAGAACTGAAGTTCTGCCCCTTCCCTTCCTGACTTCAGCATCTACCTCTTCTCTCTGGAGAATAGGCCTGGGGATTACATCTTCGACTGGGGACTGTGGGAGTTCAGCTATGAAAAACTCTGGGGAATCTCCCTCACCCCAAGATTTCCCAACTGGATCTTTGAGGGGAGGAGGAAATCCACTACTTGGCAAGAGATAGTGGAGGTGGTAGTGGTGAGATGATGTAGTGGGGGGGTGCCGGTGGTAGGAGTGAGCGAGCAAGCAGTTGTCCTAACCAGCACTCTCACAGTTAACTTATATCACACACCCCTCAGTAGCATACCTCAGCTGTCACTGTGTGCACTGCCGTTTCCTCCAGAACTGGAGACAGAACTGACAGCAAGCTGGGAAGAGGGCTGACACTCAGAGAGGGGTGGTGGCTCATCCTCAGACACTCGAAGCACACACATCCACTGACGAAATCAGGCTGACACATCCCTGGCACATGGTGAATGATTCCAACATGGATAAACACCTATCAGTCCCTGCCACAGGCATCATCTCTATTTGAACAATCACAAAATTCCTCTGAGGTCACACTCAAGAGCCTAATCTTAAAGCCTATCTGTACCCTTTCTTGACGTCTCACAATTTAATTGCTTAACCCTGGAGAGAGTTTAGATCCCTGCCCTTACTTCCCTAATTCTGCAACTAGGGTGAGCTTCAATCCCTGGAAGGCTGAGTTCAAGGAAGTTAAGTACAAGGGTCGAGGTGAAGAAACCCGAGCAGACAGAGAGGTGGGACTGTTAAACGCTTTCTCCCTCCCGCTCGTGTCACCCCTCACACACGTCCACTCGCGGCCCGCCAAACGGCCGCCCGCCTGTCAGCGGAGTAATGAATGCTTGCTTGGGGGCCCTGTTCCCCCCACCCAGTCGTTCATCACTGCCAGAACAGCCTACCTCTGCCTCCCGCCTGGAGGGCTCTGCCGCCCGGGGCTGCGAGACCCCGCTTCCCCCACCTCGACCACTAATTGTCAGATTGAGATGTTGATTTGTCAGCTGGGAGCTAGCGCCAAAGAATCTGCAGTAAAACCTGGACTCCTTGAACTTCCTATAGACTCCACTCAGGTTTGCCCGGACTTGGAGCTTTTCTTAATTTGATGTGGACAGGTTGGATTTCATTCGAGAGATCGGGGATTAGAAAGCCAGCGTCACTCTGTTCCGACAGGAGGCGCATTAGAGACCCTCAATTCCCCTAAGAAGGGTAGACCTGGGCTTAGTTCCACTTGCTGGGATTGGAGACCCTGAGGCTTTCTGTGCCAGTGTCCCAGCAGGAGGCGCCCTGGGCCGCGATCCTCTCTTCCGCAGCTAGTCTTGGCTTCCCCATAGGAAGACCCCAGGCCTCTGGCCCTTGATGCCTTCGGAGTCGCCCGAGGCCCAGATCTCTGCCTCTCCCTTCTTCAGGCGCTTTGGGTCGCGCTCCGGGTCGCCGCGCAGGAGGCACACCTGCTGCAGGTCTGCCCTCGCCCTGCCCTGGGCGCCTAGGCTGCAGCCCAGCCCCGCCCTCTCCCGGGCTGGAGCTCCCTCGGCGGCCGGCTGAGTGACGGGCTGCCGGTGATTAAGCGGAAGGGGGAGCGGGGTACGCCGCGGGCGGCAGCGCTGACCCTTCACTTTTCCGATCCGCCGGG